ATGCCTGGAGAAGAATCCATTCAGTTGCAGGAGGTCTGTGCAGTGGCTTTTTTCAAGCATACAAGCTTTGGTGCAGGGACATTTCTCAGATGTAGCTATAACTTGTGAGAGACTTTTTGTTCTTAAGCCCTCCCCCACACACATATTCTCTCTCTCTCTCTCTCTCTCTCTCTCTCTCTCTCTCTTCAGCGTGCATTGCAACAAAACAAAATCGAACAAGAGTGTCGCAGCCTGCCATCATTTTCGGTGAATTAGACAGCATCTATTCTTTTCCTTTCCAGTCCCTGGAAACACACATTCTATGAAGGGAGTGGGAGAAAACCTGGAAAATTGCTTTGCACCATGTCAGGTCCATTGATCAATGTAGTGCAGTATTCGCAGCATGTCTTTAGCATCTCAAGTATGTATTCGTTTAAAACTTTCCTTGGCTGCCTTTCAGCAAGGTAGAGGCAACAGTAGTGTAACTCGGAAAAAAAGCAGCTGTGAAAGAGGTGTGCAAAATTATTCATGGTGTGGAGAAAGTAGATAAAGCAATGTGTTTTCAGGCACCAAAGCCCTGGAACCTTTCTCTACTAGTCTTTATCATAATTCCTCCTTTATGGCAGTTAGCAGGCCCTTTAGACAATGTTGTTATCCATCTGGTTCTCTCTCGGAAATGGGTAACAAAGGAAGGTGAGGCCAGCAAAGCAATCTGTGGGATGCAATAAGTTGCTTGGATCGTTTCTGAACTGGAGGTGCTATGGATCCTGTGGCCAAGTCAGGATTAGAACCTGTGTCTCCTCATCCCAGATGTGGCCCAGTTCTTTCGACTGCTGGTAGCATCTGATAGAGCAGCTGCCATCTCTAAAGTGTTCCAGCAGTCAAGCACCGTGCTGTTTTGGCTAGCTAATTTGTGCTACCTCGTAGGGCGAAAACAGCATTGTTAATGTAGAGGATCTTCATTTTCACAGCAGTGTGAAGAGTGGAATTGCTTCTGAGGGACTTGGGGAGTGTTGAAACGGCAGGCGTGCCAGGTGAGCTGTGGCCATGCAGGAGAATCTCTTCAAAATCACCTGGCGTGATGTCCTGGAAGCTAACTTTTGGGTACATCAAGGCCATTGCTGATTTCTGTGCTTTGCAGATGGGCGCCTCCATCTCTGCCCAACGGGGTGCTGAGCAGAGGGCTGCATGGACGAGGCTAGACAGCCTCCAGCTGGTCACGACACGTACCTTGACTGACCCATTCAGTGGGGGAATCTGCGGGGCGGGTTGCTGAGGTTGCTGAGAAACCATTACACTGCTTCACTCTGCTGAATGGTGGGCCATGCAAATTAGGTATCGCTGGTACTACAACCCCTTTGGATGTCAGTGGGAAAAGTGATTCCAGGACTAGGCATCTGATCCAGCCTCCCCGAGTCTGATGCCCTCTGGAGAAGCTGGGCTACAGTTCCGCTTGCCCCAGCCGGCTGGTGACGGTACGAGTTGCAATTTAAAACCTCCGAAGGGCAGCAGCTTCGGGAAGGCGAGGCGATTGCTTTAACTTCCCAAATGGCCTTGCTACATCTTTTGAGCAACATTGTAGATTGAAACGCAGATGTGGATCACGGCAAGCATTTTTATTGCCAAAAACTGGAACTCTTGGAAAATTCCAGCCATGAGGGTGTGGTTCCGAAACGACTTGGCGGCTTTTGATCTTACGTAAAACTTTGCTCTTGAATCCATGCTTGTCCAGACAATTTAAGGGCAATGCATGTCTTTGTTTGCAATTAGGAATTTTTGGAACAATACGCGTGCTGAAGATAATGTCAAGGAACAAATGCTGGCTATATTAGTGGCTTGTTCACTTAATAGCTTTTGTTTTATATTGTGTTTTCTGCTCTTGGCAGTTTTTCCTTTTGATACTTGTTCTGCAATTGGTAATATCATCGTTGCCATCAGAAGTGGAGAGGAGCACCTCCCCAGCTGATATTTCTTATTACCTAGGGCAGCTTGCCTTAACACTGTGTCTTCCAGATGTTTTGGACTTCAGACCACAACATGACCATATTAAACACATCTGGAGAATGCCGGGTGTAAGGCTACCAAACATGCTAGGTGAATTCATACAACCCACATTGGCTGAAACTAAGTGTGCAGAGCAAACGCCAATACATTAAATGCAGGTTTGCTCTTTTAGCATTTTGAGCTTTCATGCAACGGACATTTATTGGCACTCCCTACTCAGTGTTGATTGGTTTTTTAAATTGATGTCTTGACTCTTTAGTTTTGTATCTGTTTTTAAAGAGTACTTTCAGCTTTTGTCCCCTGAGCAGGCAAAATATAGTGGCACTTGTGCAAGTGAAAGAAAGTGCGATTTCCCCATGTATCTTTGTGCTATTCTGCCATAACCTCTAGTGCCACCTAGAGGTTATGTAGTGGGAATGCAGGATAGGAAACACTTCATGTAGTGCTGAGATATCTAATCTTCAGCAAAACATAAAATAGATATGGTGAATTAACAGTCTTATGTAAAGAAAAAAGAAAAGCCCTTAACACAGGTGTGGGGCACACCCTCAAGTAAGTGCTGGTTGGATTGGAGGTTCAGCACGTAAAACATTATAATTTATGAATTCTTTAGTAACTGCATGAGAACCCTTAACAGGAATCTAAGGGACTATTCACACTAAAGAGGGTCACACTTTTAAAGGCAGCCTAGAAATAAGAGACCAGACAGCCATATCAACTGATATGAAAAGTATTTCTGGTTTACTTTTGAAGTTGAGCTACTTTGCGTTAATCGTCACCTTTCAACCAACAAGCGCAAGGGTGATTGCACTCAATCACCTATGATTGAGTGATTGCCTATGGAATGCGGTCCCCAGAGAGGTCCGCCTGGTGCTGTCTTTATTTGTGTTTTGGCGCCAGGTTAAGCCCTTTCTATTTCAGCAATATTTTAATAAGTTTTAATATTGTCTTCTATATGTTTTTAACTGCAGCCGGTGTGGGTTGGTAATTTTATTCATGTTATATTTTATTTCATTTATGTAAGCCATCCTGAGGCTTTCACGATAGGACGGCATATAAATATTTTAAATATAAATAAATAAATAAATACTCCTTCCGTCTTTTAAGACATTATTCAGCAGGAAATGCTATCTTATTTAGTCTAATCAAGAAATCAAATTCATGCTTAAAAATGTAGCACATATGATGTTTTTTAAACATGGCTGCAAAGAAAAAAGAAAAGGGAGGGACGAAAGAAACCGGAGAAAGAAACAGAGTAGGGAGAAAATGAAGAAAATTCTAGTTCTTTGAACGAAGTAGCAAAGCTTTACCAAAGTGGTTGTGCTTGTGCCTGCGTCTCGTTGTATATCCAGCTACGCCCACACAGATATTTTGTGTGTGTTCTTATCTTAACTTCTGAGTGTAACCTGGCAATTTTCTGTGCGAGAGCGGTTCTCAAAACTTTTCACCTTCTGATTTTTCACAGTATACTTGATAGCTTGTCAAAAATTTCCAGAAAACAAATTATACAAGGAACAGTAATAGGGTGGAGACCAGAAACATTGGCTGGTGCTTAGACAGAGTCACTGTGTCCTTTATTTAAACTCCGATGAACTCATTCAAATATGCAGCTCTAATAAGAGAATATATTTGTTTCCTTCCATCATGGCAGGGTTGCGGAACCTCAGCTTTGGAGCCAAATTTGACGCTCCTCGTGTCCCAAAGCAGTTCTGCAAATATTTGCACACCCCCTCTCTCCCAGCTACAGATCATCCTGGGGTTTCTTTTTGTGTGTTTTCCTCTTTTCTGAAAGGTCAGAATAACTCTCCCAAGGCTTAGTGACCATTCGGAAGAGCTGTAAAATTAAAATTTGCTGGGATTTTGGGCCCCACCTTGCTGACCCTGGAATGCGGCCCCCAAAAGTTTGCCTGAAATGAAATTTGGCCGTTGAACTGCATTTGGTTCCACCCCCATATTATGGAGTGATGGCATTGCTTTCTCACTGCGAAATATCCCAGCAAGCTTTCTCCACATAGGCCCTGCGTCTGAACTATATAAAGTAGAGTATGGCGGTGAAGATAGCCTTTACCCAGAAGCCTTGGGTGAGCTTTTGACTGTGTTGATATCACCTCCAAATCTGGCTTGTGCTAACCATGGTTTAGAAGCCATATGGTAGATGGGGTTTCCAAATGAAAAGGCAAGACACGACTCAAAATGGCATGCTTGCTTTCTTTTTCATGTAGTTGACATGCCCTTCCGTATGATGTGAAGGCTGCAACCTTAAGTTTGCTGGTTCGGACATGAGGCTAAACCATGGTTTGCAAAGCTACTTCAAGGCACGGCTTTTCACTGTGGTTGTATTTTCCCCTGATGTGGAAGTTGCCCTGCTGTAACCATTCGGGAATTGCATGGGTGCCCAGAAAAACCGGCAGGTGGTCAGTCAGGAGAGAGCCTCCAGGAAGGAATGGGGGAAAGGTCTGGAGCTGGCTATGTGGCCTCTTTTACAGGGGCGAGTTCTCGCTTTGAGTGGCTGCCCAGCTCCATCACAAGGTAAAGGTGATGAACCACAGTAATGGTTGCTCATCAGCAGCAAGTTTGAACAGCAGGTGAACGCACACGGGTTACTGTGGTGAGATGGACTGCATTTCTAGGTGTTTCTGAACGTGTGAGCCTTTTAAAAAACTGGGACTTTGCCCATTTTACTCAATGGGAGGAAAGTGCGATTTTGGATACACTTTTTTTTAAATGACAATTTTCCCCAAGCATGCATACCTATCTATATATTTAAAAAAGCTACTCACCTTTAGGAATTTGAACAAGGCAAATCACACTTTGGGGAAGAATTGGATGAGTTCAAACATTATATGTTCACCCATTCCTGCTCCTATAATATTGGGGTGGGGGGTTAAAGATGCATTCCCACTGGGTGAGGACCCTGGACATGATGATTCTGCTCCTTCCCTTGGCGTAGCTGAGAAACCTCCTCTTGCTGGACCCCCAGGGTAATGTGTCGCTTTGCTTCTTGTGTCCGTGCACAGGTGCCCCTGGCTGACAAGAGCTGTCTCCCCAGCGATCCCGCTGTACAATGGACTCGTGTTCCTGTTTGTCGTCGCAAACTTCAGCATGGCGACTTTCATGGACCCCGGTGTTTTTCCAAGAGGTAAATTCGGACTGGAGGGGTAGGACATGAGGAAGCAAACTGGCGTGCCTTTCAAAACGTTACAACCAGCTCTTATCCCCCACAAAAGAAAGCTGTGTCCCATGATCCAGCATTATTGGCACCGCTCATAATATAGATGGTAGTATTATTAACATACTCACTGGAGAAGAGCCTAATGCTGGGAACAATTGACGGGAAAAGGAGGAGGGGGCGGCAGAGGATGAGGTGGCTGGATGGAGTCACTGAAGCAGTCGGCGTGAGCTTGGGTGGACTCCTGGGGATGGTGGAGGACAGAAAGGCCTGGAGGAGTGTTGTCCATGGGGTCGCGATGGGTCGGACACGACTTTGCAACAAGCAAGCAAGCAATTATTAATGAAAGAACATAAAAGGAGCCACACTGGGTTAGGGCAAGGGTCTGTCTTGGCCAACGTTCTGCTTGGACAGCGGCGCACCAGATGCTGGTGGAAGCCCTTCAGCAGCACCTGAGTGCAACCTGGGTATATTCCCCATGAATGCAACTCGTGTACACATGCATTGCGCTTCTGAGATTGGAGGAAGGATGGAACAATCAGGGCTAGTCGCCTTCAGTAGCCTTCTCTCCCATGAATACGTCCAGTCCCTGTTCAGAGCTCTCCAAATCGGTGGTCAAAACTCCCCCCATCCTGTGTTACTTTAGCTATGCACCACGTAAAGAAGCCCCCTCTTCTTTGTCCTGAATTGCCCAGGGGAAGATAAGACATGCACATTCCCAGACCGTGTATTCTTGTTTTCTATGCCTTCCCCTGCCACCCCGCTCTTTACTCGGTGTTTTGTTGATTTTTCACTCTCGATTTTAATGTGGGTGTGTGTGTCTTTAATATGATTTATATAAAACTATCCCCACGCAAAAGTTTCTATCTGGAAGAGCAGAGCAGAAATGTATTCATTAGCTGATAGACGGATAATATTGCATGGTGATGTCTTACTTCTGGCCATCGCACAGCAGCCACAACGCCTCACATAATTTATGGTGGGATCTGTACAGCATGGGGTCCTCCTGTCCAGAGCCGTCCAGCCAGCCATGCCCCCTTTGAGGATACTCCATTCCTGTCCCTGTTTCCCTTGCTTTCCTGCTTGGTCCCCTCTACCCATGTCTGCTCTGGGCATGCTTCATCTGAGTGCTCTGTGTTTTGGGTTGCCTAAATATTCCATCTATTTCTGCAAACATGGGAGACGGGTTGTGTGTGTGCATGTGCGTGCACAGAGGGCGTGCTCTTCTGGCAACTGTGTTCTGAGAATGAGTTCAATATTTGTGTATTGGAAATTCAGCTGGCAACGGACTCTCATTGTGGGCTGTGACTAATTCCCTTGTCATCTGTGCTGCATGTGTGCTCGGCTTGGGCACGGTGCCCCACGCAGCCTCTCTTCCCATTTGACGGACAGATGTGTGGGCCGACTCTGCGCGCAGATTCCTGTCTGCGTGTCTTAGCCTCTCTCTTCAGGCATGTTGTCCCTTTTAGTCATCGTCCTGCAGTTTTTGTCTGTTCTCCTCCCGTGTCTGTTTGCTGTTCAGCACCTCTGAGATTCCCTACAGAATTGCCGACTGGCTTCATGCCAACAGCAGAAAAACCTTTGCATCCATGGTACCGAGTCATATTGCAGGTAGAGCCCCATGGGAAGAAATTTCCTGAAAGCATGAAATGGGATGCATGGAGAAGCATTCTCCTGGTTGGTTGGCCTTCTTCCTGATTTAAGAGGTTTTTTATTCTTGTTATTTGTTGGAAAGTTCCTTCAACCCTGAGAACTCCTGCCTGTGGTCAGAAGTAGCCCAGTTCTGACATGGCTTGATGTAGTTAGGGGTCTGCAGGAGTAGTTTTCTAGATGTTCAGGACTTCATTTCCCAGCATTCTTAATCACTGGCCATGCTGGCTGGGGTTTCTGAGAACTTGGAACCTCTGTCCCACCCTGAGTTAGAAGAGGAGTATGACATGAATGCATGGGATCCAAGACAGAGGCAGTGCTAGGAGAGTGCCCCCCTCCGCTCTCCGGGGCTCCTCAAATCGCTGTGTCCCTTTCCCATGCCCTTTTCCCTGAACACCATCATTTGGTTCATTTGGTTCAGCTATTGCTCATTTTTCCCGGCATTCCAAAAGGCTGGAATGCCTAAGTCTTAGTGACCGGGAATAATAGGTTTCCTCTACAATATTCTTTGGAGTGCGTGGGTCCCTTTAGCTTCCTCCACCACTGGACAGTACCTCCTGGCAGCTTCTTGAAAGGGAACTCAGGCTGATAAAGGCTCAGGTCCACTAACAGAGTACTTGAAACGTCAGCAGTAGCACTTTAACCTTGGCTTGGAAACCATTTGGGAAACGTATGTTGACTTGCATCTTGTCCAGTTCACTTCCTCAGGATGGCTGCTACCCTGAAAGCTGGACTAGAAATATTTTAACGTGCATTAAATAAAGCTTGGTTATGGTTTTTAAAAGCTGTTAAAGTGGGAAAGCAGCTACGGGGAAGAGCTCCAACAGCCCGTCTCCCGTCTCCCGTCTCCTTGCTTATGCAGCAGTTTACATCTGCTAACCCACTTCCGGCCTGAGCCAAGTTGTCACATTTCATGTTATGTCAAGTTGCGGTTTTTTCACAGTTACAGTTTGGCCAGTAACGTTGGGCTTCTACTTTATTTGTTTTGGGGAATGCTTGAGCAGCAGACGAAGACGAGGATAAAGACGACGATTTCCGAGCTCCGCTTTACAAGAACGTGGAGATCAAAGGCATCCAAGTACGGATGAAATGGTGCGCCACCTGCCATTTCTATCGCCCCCCACGCTGCTCCCACTGCAGCGTGTGTGACAACTGTGTCGAGGTAGGAACAGGTTTGGTGTGCCCATCTTCGAAGGATGGGGTTCTAGCTGAGTGTTGGGCTTCTAATTTATTTATTTATTAAAACATTTTTAGGCCGCCCCATTCGCCGAAGCCTCGGGGCGGCTTACAACGTTAAGTTAAAAAAAATAATTATAACATTAAATTAAAAAATACAAACATTAAGTTAAAAATGCAAAAATACCAATATAATTACACACACTTCACTGCGCACATAAGCGGTGGCTAGGAAAGGGTCACGGTGGCGGGCACATTAGTCTGGCCAGCTGCTTGGAGGGCTAGGCTTGGACTGCGAAGAGCCCGTTTTCACTTCCTCCTCGATTGGGAACTTGACGGCAGGAGCTGAGGCCAGGCACCGGCTTTGTGTGCAGTGTATTCCCATTAAGCATCTGGTTGTGCTGTTGTGACACAAAACAGAGTTTCTTCTTGATGGAACTTTGACACCCGCTGATCTGTTGGGATGCCTTAGTGTTGCCCAGAGAGTGTTTAAGCAATCATGATGCTCCAAGAAACAAGAATACAAAGAGAACTGTAATTCTGGAATTTTATTGTCAAGTAGGGTATTTATTGCTGCACTCCAGATCCAAGTTCTAAAGGGTCACCTGCTGCTGTGAGGCCATTTTATCCCCTTGGCAGAATGATTAAGAGTTTAAGACCATTTTTAGATGTAGTCAACTGTGCAATTAAAAAGCAGATGGGAAGCGGTAGCACTAGCTAGAAACTCATTAAATGCCAACGTTAGCCAGAGTACGACGTAAAACTCGCTGACTTTAATCACAAGAACGGCCCCGGGGAACATAGAGGAGCAGAATTCTTCTCCAAGAGATTATTGATACCCCACTTTTTAACCAGGATTTTGATTCACAGCAACTTTAAAAAAATATCGAAGCAGGCTTCAGGAAATCCTGGTACTGTCGTGGTCTCCATGTCCATTCTGCCCAGAATGCTTTGCTCTGAAAAAGGACTCCTCAAGGTGGACCACCCAGGTCTTAAGACCTTGGCTAGAGGGCCTTCACCACCATTTCCTATCTAGGCTGGAAGTCAGGGAGCCAACCCACTCTCTTATTCTGGGGGAAGGAGCACACACTGGTGGAGACGGGGCTGGCTGGGCAGGGGGACATCTTGCCACGGGACAGCAGCAGGAAATGTTCTCCTCCTCCTGTGCTGGGACACCTTACACTGCTGCTGGACTCTGCTTTAATATTGGGCTGCTGGCAGAACATTTAACAGGCTTAATGTCTTGATGAATCGACTGTCATGAGGCTGGAATTCTCTGTTTTGGATTCAGTGGGGAATTGGGCATAAACATGCCTCAGTCTCCATGCTCAGGTAGGCATGAGAGGAGGGGCAGGAAGACCACGCAGGCCTGACCCGTTCCATGGCTTGTCCTTGCTCGTGCGAACCCAGCAAGGGTGGCTTGCTGCCATGGTTAGCATGGGTTATGGGTGGTTGTTAACCCTGGTTCACCCGCTTGGGACAACACTGTCAGACACACCAAGGAGAGTAACTCAGCAAATTGGGGACCAGTTTGTGACTGGTGCATGCAGCACGGTGGAGAAGGCAGCACGGTGATACCCGGTCAGAGTGACAGGAGGGCTGCATGGGGAAGGGCTGGGGAGGGGCACCCCCCCCCCCCCAATATCAAGCAGTGAGATGTCCCACAAGCAGCATCCTTCCTAGGACAGAAGATTCCTCCCCTTTTCAGAAGGCAGGTCCTGGATCCAGGACATTGATCTGGTATAGAGAATGCAGTAACCTTGGACTTGCTCAAGGGTTGTGTACAGGTTGAATGTCAGTTGATTCTGAACCATGGCTTGCTGTTGAATATGGTTTATCCTGTTGTCAGCCTTGGACCACTCCAAGGTCCAAGGTTTGTGGCTGAGTTGTGAACTCTGGGTCGCTTGCTATAGCTTCTTATCTAGGCTGGAATCAGACAACATGGTGTGGGTCAGCTTGTTATCTGCTGACCCACATAACCTTTATGTGCAAACTGGGTGCTTAGTTTGCGCTGAAGCAATTACCTGATGTCCAGAACAAAATTAATCCCCTTCCACTTTTTTTCAAAAGTGACATACCCAAAACTGGACGTAACGATGCTTGCACTGTTGAGGTTTCCTTTTTCCTTCCTTTAATTGCCTCATTATTTTTATGACGCATTAGGGAAGACCTAAAGTACCCCTTTCTTTCTCAGAAAATTCCAGTGTGGACATAGGAAACAAACCGAATGAAAGAGATTAGCAGTTTTGCCATTGCTGGGAGGCAGAGATTGGTTGCGGGCTGAGGGAGTGAAAGGAGATTATAGGGAGAGAAATGTTCAGTCCTGCACAATATGAACCAGGTGATTCAGAACTGCCTTGCTCTAGCGTCGTTTTCCCTCTCTTTCGGGCACACCTGGAAATGTGCTGGCTTTCCTTTTGGTAGGAATATGCATGGAACTGAGGACCAATTGGCCTACTCCACCTGGTGCTGGATTGGCTAATGTCCACAGTGGCTGAGAATTGTGGGAGGATCCCCCATCCCTGTCCTAAACCATGAGAGCTAGCAACTTGCTTCACAAATATTTACCAGAGGTGAGGTGCTTAAAATGGCACATTCTCCAGATGAAATCTGTGCTCTTGTTGAGGAGTCCCTGCCTAGAAATCAGACAATGCATGGTCAGAATGGTGAGTAATAGCTGTGACAACATGGCTTCTGTGCATCACTCCACACTACGCCTTTTCTCTTTCTCTCTCCACAAGGATTTTGACCATCACTGCCCTTGGGTTAATAACTGCATAGGTCGGAGGAACTACAGATACTTTTTCCTCTTCCTGCTCTCCTTAAGTGCCCACATGGTCGGAGTGTTCACCTTTGGGCTTATCTTTGTCTTAAACCATGCAGAAAAACTGGGGGCCGCGCACACAGCCATCACGTATCCTTTCTTGAGTGCTTGGGATGCCCCGTACCTCCGGGAAGGAGATGGGACTGTTTGGCCATGTGAACAGGCAAAATTCTCAAGCCACATTTAGTTATTTATTATTTATTTGAGACATTTGTGTGCCATCCTTGGTGAATGTCTCAGGATGGCTTACATGAATAAAATTCCAAAATACATTTATTTATTTTATTTTATTTATTTTTCAATTTATATCCTGCCTTTTTCCTACAAAGGGCTCAAGGCAGCTTACATCATTCTCCTCCTCCATCTTATCCCCACAACAACCACCCTGTGAGGTAGGTTGGGCTGAGAGTCTGTGACTGGCCCAAAGTCACCCAGTTGGCACCATGGCTGAGCGGGGACTCAAACCCAGATCTCCTGAGTCCCAGTCCCGTGCTCTTAAACTCTACACCACACTGGCTCTACATGGCAATATAATATTATAAATAACATAAAACATTCCACAATATAATCCTCTCTTAATTAATAAAAATAATAGATGCAACTGTATACGAATTAGCAATATTAATAAAATAGTATTAATGGTTAAAATGAAGGTTAAATTAAAAGCCTTTACCTGGTGCTGAAAGGAGTAGCGGGTTGGTGCCAGGTGGACCCCTCTGGGGAGCACGTTCCATAGCCATCGGTATACATAACTTGATACTCTCCAAGCAGCCTTCCCCAAGTTTGCTGCTCTGCGGTTGTTTTTCACTACAACTCCTAGCATGCCTTACCATGCTGGCTGGGACTGATGGGAGCTGAAATCCAAAGCACTTGTAGGACACCAGGTCGGCAGAGACTGCCCTACGGAGTTCAGTTGGCTTGGACAGAAGGTTCTGGACCTTTTATGTCAGTTTCAAAATGTGTTAACTTTTCTCCTTCTGGGTGTTGCATTTTTTTATTTTTTCTTGGGCTGCAAGAGTTTCTGCCAGCCAGCAGCTCTTGGAGGTCTAAATCTAATAAGTAAATAAAGATATTTGTCCTTCCTTTAAAATGTGCTTCAATGAGCCACTTTGCTTTGGAAGGAAAAGCAAGCCCTGGAAGAGGCCTCAGGATTGGGGCCATACTCTATTTTCATCCTAAATTTCCCTTCCACAAATACATTTATATCCCACCTGTCCTCCAAGGAGCCCGAAGTGCTTCTTCTGGACATGGGCAAAACACGGAGGAAGATGATCTTTCAGCATGCAATGGGCATTCTTTTTTTCTTTTTGTCCTGAAAAATGCGAGATTTCCTTAACGACAGCAATCAGCATGGCTGTGATGTGTGTGGCTGGGTTGTTCTTCATCCCAGTTATTGGACTTACAGGTTTCCATATTGTTTTAGTGGCCCGAGGACGCACAACGAATGAGCAGGTAAGATGGGATTTTCATTAATGTGCGTATTGTTAGTCCCTACATTATTCATGATCAAGGCAGCTTATAATAAAATACCAAAGTATGCCATTAAAACTCAGTGGGCAGCTTATGACGCTCTGGATGTCTTGCTCTGCTTTTCCAGCATTCCTGACCAATGGCTCTATCAGCTAGGACCGATGGGAATACTAGGCTAAGGATCTGGCCAAAGGCTGCATTAAAATAAGCTAAAATGCCAAATCTGTAAAGCGGCGTCATAATAATGCATCTAGTAATGTAGACATTCCATGTCCTCTGGAGAAAAATTATCTGTCATTGAGATCAATGGGGAACATGCTTCACTTTGGCCAAAGTCTGTCCCTGGTGCACCATTATGTACGGATCACACGCATACATTTGTGGAAGGTGGGATCCTGTTCTCACTTCTCACCGAATGCGTTGAGGTTGGTGGAAGAGTATTTGGCACATCCCCGGTCCCCTTCAAAATATATATTATATGTATAGTGAAAACAAGGACCTCGTCTCTGGAAGTGAGACCTGCGACACAACACCAATGGGTGGGTTAGTTAATTTGCAGGTTGTGAATCATACTCTTACCCTACTCTCCTTCGAATGAATCCCGTTAACCCACAAGCTGATGCATTGGGGAGGACAATATCTCAGGAACGGCTATTGAGAAAATTCCACTCAGGGCGCTTGGTTGACTCTTGGCCAGTTCATTGCTCAAACTGAGCTGGAAAACAATATCTCACGCGAGCGTCTTTGGAGATATTGCACAACCTAAAATAGCTTTTCCTACTTTCCCTCCCTCATTCATCAACTTGCTCAGTTGTAGTGGTCTCCTGGTCCAGATGTTGTTTGACAACAACTCCCACAATCCATGACCTTTGGCTATGTTGGAGTTGACACCCAAAACACCTGGAGAGAACAGCAGGTGAAGAAAGTGACAATAATAGATCTTACACTCTTCCTTGCAACTTTCACCTAAGAAGCAGAGGGGAATTTAGAGCAGAGGAACGATTGCGGAGTAAGAATGCTCAGGGGAAACGTGACCCAGTTTGGTGTCAAGCACGAGTTGGGAGGGGACATTTGGAGAGGGGCCCAGCTGGCAGGGAGATGTCCAACCATTCACTGCGTCCCCCTTCTCCACTCTGAATGATTCCCTGGAAAAGCAACTTAGCTTCATGCCTGGAAAAAAGAGGCCCCCAGGTATGGTCGCAGTGCTAAGAGCAACAGCAGATGTTTTGCTTTCCTGCTCATCTTGGGTGGGCTTCCTGGAACCATCTGATGGGCCATTAGTGGAGAAAGGATCCTCCCCTGCTGTGCGTGGCGCTTTGGACGGACCGAGCATGGCTGCTATGATACAAGGTGGAACACTGGATGTGGTCTCGATGCCCAAGAGTGAATGGGTCTTTCTTCAAGTGTCCTGAATATTATAATTCCAGGTGACGGGTAAGTTCCGTGGGGGAGTAAACCCTTTCACTCGAGGATGTTGCAACAATGTGGAACATGTCCTCTGCAGCCCCCTGGCGCCCAGGTAAGCTCAGGGAAGGGGAATATACAGTGCGGGCTTTTCACCAAAGAGTATGTCTTCTTTCGTGCATGCTGGAGCTGATGGAAGTTGGTTGGGTATCCTTGACCATTCTTGTCATCGTGAAAAAGTGAGGATTTCCCACCTGGTGACAGACAGCAAAGGTGCTCATGCTCCCACAGAGATGCAGAGCATTGTCCATGTGTGTTTGTGTCCTGACACACACACACTAGGGCTAGTCCAAGTTTACCGCCTCAGAATGGGCAGTAAATGGGGATCCCTCCAAGACAAGGTCAAGTTATTTTGTCACGTGAAACTGGGAGGGCATTTATGAATTGCCAAAAAGAGAGAGTGTGGAGAGGAATTTATTTGCTGAAAAGGATGAAAATTAACTGAAAAGAGACAAAGATTAACTGAAAAGGAAGGAAGGAAAAAGAGCAAGAAGGGGGTGCTGGATCAGAAGGATGATACAGTATGTTGAAAAAGTCCAAAAGAGGATATATGTTTGCATAGAATTTGCTAATTAATATGAACATGTGTAAATTATCATTTTAGGATATATGCACATTTTGAAATCGTTGTTATAAGTTAAATAGAGATTCAGTCCCTCTCGCCATAGTGGGGAAGACTGAGAGCATGCCTGATGCATGAGCTCTCCAGGGGCTGATCAACGATGGGCAGCCACTCTGGGGCTTCTAGATCTTTAAACTGGAATTGGACAGGGCAGCCCGTCAAATATCAGATGACCCCCAAAGGGCAACAATCATCTGTAACTGCTTTATCTAGAGAACCATCCTCTGTAAACGCAGACACACGGCTCTTGCGCCAAGGCAGGAAGTGCCACAAGCCTATCACAGTTACCACTGTGCAGCGAAACCAGTTGCCACATTCTGTTCCCTTGGGATTAAGGCTGGATCATAAAATAAAAAGCGCACGAAGGCTAACATCCTATCAGGAATAATGGGGCTCTGTGAGCTTCCAAAGCTCGTGCAGTTTTCCAGTAGTTTTCCCATCGTTCAAATAGCATCTATTCCTGCAAGGCCCGTGGGCTGGCCGGTGGTGGCTGCGCCATGGTCTCAACATTTAGCCCTTTGCCAAGGTTTCTCTGAGCGATGTACCTCACACGGGAGCTGGGCTGCCTTTCTGAGCTTGTATGCCTTACGTGATCTCTCAGGTACGTTATCGAGCCAAAGAAGCAGCAGCCGATCAGCGTGAAGCCGCCATTCCTACGGCCGGATTTAAGCGAGCGGCAGATCACGGTGAAGATAAGCGACAACGGAATCCAAGCGAATTTCAGTCGGAGCAAGGTGAAGGCTTCCTGAACACCTTCATTTCTGGAACAGAGATGGGCGGATGCAGGGACGTGCCCAGGGGCCGGCGTGGCTGGGCATCAGCGAAGGCTCTTCCCTCCAGCATGGGCCACAAACACCCCCTGAAGTTGCTCCTCCTCTGCAGTATCGCAACCTGCTCGTCCACCTGTCTCTCGCTATGACCCAGGTGGCAGGGGGAGTGGGGGGAGACGCAGGGGTTGCGCCTGCTTGATGTTTGCTTGCTGGCTGGCTTTCTAGTGAGGGGGGGCGCATGGCAGAAAGGGGCTGAGCGGCAAGAGCAGCTGGGGACCATGGTGGGAGGCAGGAAGCCTCACCGAGCGAGGCCGTCCCCGGAGGTTGTACCCTTGCCCATGGGTCCTCAAAAACCTGGACCCGAGGCTGAGGAATGGCCAGGCTTGTATGTTCTACTTCATTTTTTACCAGATCTCGCTGATCCACACATTCAGAGCTGATGCAGAAGATGCACACATAGCCTGAAGGAGACCTGGGGTTACTTTTGAGGCCCCGAAAATGGCACTCAGAGTTGCTGAGTGCAAGAATCCCCTCCTGATTGCCCTGAGCTTTCTTCGTTTCAGCAGCAGAATTTACTTCCTTTCCTAATCCAGTTCTGTCCAGATGTGCTTGGAGTATAACTCCCATCATCCTCACGGCTGTGCTGGCTGGGAATGAGGAGGATTATTTTACAACACATCCTGAGGATGTGACATTAGAGAAACCTGGACTAGAGTGGATTTTCCCTGGACCTTTTAATGCTTCCTTTTGATTCTAATAAACTGTAATGATTCAATACGGAACCAGAGGAAAATAACAATATTAGGTTAAGTAATTGAAGGAGAAGAGTTGCAGTTTGGCATTTGTGGCCTTAAGAAAATGTTTCTTCCTTTCTCTTATTTGTTTTTTTGTTTACAAAGCATGTTGCTATCCCTTTAGGCTGGTAGGATGTAGCTTCCATATAGCCTGAAGTGTCTGATGCTGTCTAATCTGGGAAACAAAGCACAGTCAGGCCTGCTTGAAATCTGGATGGGTGATTAATGTTGTTAACCATCCAGAGGGTTTTGGCTATGGGTGGTATAGAAATGTAATTAATAATAATAGAAGGAGGCATCTGAAAATGTGACCAGAAGGCCTTCTGGTTGAGGGAATGTGGTTTCTCTGTGCATTGACCCCAAGAGCCTGACCTAGCAGAAATCTAGACATTAGCTCACAAGAACATCCTTGAATAAGTTTCCCATATGCAGCTAAACATGTTTATATGCACCAATACATTTTGAGGAACAATTACAAAATGGTCAGCTCTCATCATCCCCAACTTTTGTGCAGAATGTCTTTCAGCCTGTGAACTGAATTCCATGTGGAAAAACGTTTGGCAGCTGCATTCCCGTGATGGGCAGGGCAAAAGGAGAAGGAATCAGGAGAAGACTCGCGCAGTCTTGAGCTCTTGCTTCCAGTGGCATTCCAGCCTTTAGAATGGGGAAACACTGCACAAAAGCTGGGGATTTTCTCTGTAGTCAGTCGTTGGAGGGAGAGTGTGTTTTATTGTCAAGGGGAGGCTGAAGTGCTGGACCGAAACCGCAGGAGAGCCAAATCTGACCCGCACAGCAGTCTTGAGGTTCTGTGCCCCTGCTGTATGGTGTGCAGAGATGCCCGTGAAAATATTATAACATCTTAAGGTATCTTAGAGTACACGATATTATGGAATCTGAACATACTTTAATTACGGTGCTTCATTCTCATTTTTTCAGTCTAAAGTTAGCCTGGAAGGGCTTGAAGAGAAAAGCATGGATACCCAACCAACGCTACCCCAAAAGGGAGATTCCAGCAAATACAGTGAGCTGGGGAGCAGTGAAGGTATATGCCTGCTCAGTCCTTTATTTTGAAATGTTTGGAGCCTCTTAAATTGCCTGCTGAAACATGAGCATCAGCTGAGTTATGCTATCAAACCATTTCAGCCAGTAGAGAGAACATAGCTCAGTGCTGGTTTCTGTAATCAGAAAGAATTTCTCGAATGTTGTTAGAATTACCCTTTGGTGATCCTGGCATGTTGTTTTGCAACATCCTAATCACTTGTCTGAACCTATTAACTGGCTGCATTTCAAACTAGGAATTAAGACACATCTCTTACACTATCACTATATCGATTAATTACACAGATGTAATATGCTTTATGCTCTTCCTGCTTTCTTTGTATTAGAGATGGCATTATCCATAATTGATAATATCTACCAGCTTTTTTGTTTTTTTTGTTCGTTTGCTTTGCTCAGTCAAGGACAACTGCAATGCAAACAGCAGCTTGGCAATATTAAGTCTGCTTTCATATTCTTTTCTCCGATGACAGATACCTACTTATGCACGAGCTTTCACATTTAAAAGATGGATATCTTAACCCAAACCTCAATGAGCTGCAAAGGTGTCTAAAGTGCTGCCGAATTAGTGTTAGATTGCAGAGTTGATTCAGATCAGTGACTTTAATCAGTGACTTCGATGCTGAACACTTATCAAATTGCCAAGAGGTTATACTGCTCTAGCATTGCACAAGAAACCTTTCTAAATTTTACTCTGTTGTAAACTGCTCAGAGAGCTTTGGCTATGGGCAATATAGAAATGAAATTAATGATAATGTGCAGAATGTCCCGCTTTCAAGCCTTGGCATCTCCCATTAAAAGATGAGGTAACGGAGAGCAAAACAAGCAACGAATCAAGATGAACCAGTGGTTTAAGCTGGTCTCAGGTCGTTTCCAAAATACTTTAAGATTTGCAGACCCACAGCAGTCATATCTCACCAAATTTTCTCTTTCTCGCCTGTTTCTCTAGCCCATTACCTTTTCCTTTTATAGAGTGACCAGTTGCGCAAAAAACAGAGCTCACCTAATTTTACCAGGGCCATAGCAGATCAGCTGCACCAACCTGGCCAACTCTCCCTCACAAGACTTCCTGTTTACAAATGTCACTCTCTTTTGCTTTTCGCCCTGCTATCCAAAATTGATGTGCTGGTTCTTATTCTGGCATCGTGCTTTCATGATGAGAGGTGCCTTTCAGAAGAGCAGGGTAGAAACTGTCTTGCAAAAAAGCAGACTATATGTATTTGAGATATGCATATTTCTCCTTTCTCAACTCCCCTTCTGTTGGCCTGGTGCCCTCTTGGAACGCCGCTGCCACATCTTTTCCGAGGACATTCCTTCTGCCTCCTGCGCACCCTAGGAGCATCAGTTGGCAACCAGAGATCCTTTTACTTAGCCTCTGCCTCCATTCCTTTGGGACAACTAGCTCATCACTGCCAGAGCCTGCATCCCTGTCACCGCAGAAGCCTTTCTTGCATCGCCCTGGGGAGGGCCCGAAAGTCAAGTGCATGGCTCCATTCCTGGCAGCTCCGTAAAAGTGATTTACGGAGCCCAGCAAAGGCTGAGCTGTGGGCCACTGTAGGAGGGAAGCCGAGAGTTGTGTTGGGGGCCTAGAGCCAAGGAAGCCAAGAGCCAGAGCTGAGGAAATAAGTCAGAAGTCAGAACCGAAGAACAAGTGAAAACCAGAGCTGGGGAGACCACTGTGGCTCAGGCACCCAAGAGGAAGCTCTGGAAAGCCACCGGCCAGCCTACATGGATGGGGCCTGCCCAGAGCCTCCTTCCCTGCTGTGAACCTCCAAACAGCAGTTCTGGTGGCTCGCCACAAGGGGCAGCCTCCTAGGCAGCCCAGTGTTCCCAGGGATGGCCCCAGCAGCTCCCAGCACTTAGCTAGCAGGGCTGAAAAATGCCGCCTGGTGGTGCCGTTTAGCAGAGCAGGCAATACTGGGCTCCCAAAGAGAGGCCTGATCTGGCCCAAAGGACCCGTATGAGCTCAGTGGGAATGGTCCTCTGTCAGACACAGCCGTGATTGTTTTTTTCCATAGGGGGGTACATGCAAAACAGGCCCATTTTTGTTAACACGCTTGATTTTTTGCATTTGTTTCCCCCACAGAGAGCAGCCTTTCGCCCAAACTGATCAGCCCTCCCACACCTGCGATGTACAAGTATCGTCCGGCGTTCAGCAACAATCCCAAAGTGCACTACCATGCAGCACCTGAACAGGTAAGCCTATGATGGCTGGAGTCCTAGGGAGACTTGCTGGGACAAGTGTATGATGCTTCAAAGCAAGAGTGCCCACCAAGAGCAACTGCCCCATCATCCCCAGCATCCTCCTCATACTGTCCTGATAGCAGAGGGTTCCACACTACCAGACCCACCTGGAGCTATCCAAGGTCCAGCTTTCTTCCTGCCTGGATTTACTACCAGCTTCTCCTGCAAGCCCCAAGGAACCACAAAATGCAACATATTTTGGATTTTTTTTTGCAGAGGGTGGCATTTTCTAACCAAGGAGCTGGACAGGTCCCTCCTTCCATTCCAAATTAGCTATGACCCTGGCCTTATTCTGTGCACATCACTGCAGTATTTTTTTTACTCCCTAGAAGCTGTAGAGCCTTCTTGTCACAAAAGGCAGCCCCTTCCTGTGACTAGTGTCCATTTCAACTTTGAAAACTTTTTAAAAATAAGTTTTATTTTAAATGATAATCCTAAAAAACAAAAAACAAGAAAACAAAAAAAAAACTAAAAACAACATCCATCATCAAAAACATTGGGCCCGCTGGATCAGCCCCCACACCCTTCTTTTTCCTTTTATGATAACTTAAAAACACATTTAAATCTATGCAAAGTCTCATTTCTCTAGCCAATAATAAAAAGAGTCCCAAGTTTGATAGAAATCAGTATCTTCCTTCTCCTTCAATGATAAAGTCAATCTATCCATTTCTGCACCGTCCAGGATCTTTTTTAGAATCAGTTCGTCGGTGGGTAGTTCTTCATTTTTCCAGTGTTGAGCCAATGTAATCCCCGCCACAGTGATTACTCAGCTTTGAAAACTGAGGCAGGGACACCAGATGAGGCTCCACTTCTGGAAACCTGGTGCAGCGACGCTCCAATTTTTCTCAGAAGAGCCGATGGAGGGCGAGCTTTTGAAAGGGAGTCTCACTGGATGAGATGATAGCACCGAGTTGGCCAGAAAGCTTATTCTCTTGAAAGCATCACCTTTCAAAGGTGCTTTGTCACCTGACAAAGGGCTTGCTGCCTCTCTGTATTGTAGCTTTACCTGTGTGTCTGCTAGCGCTGAACCAGCCGGCTGGCACTGAGTAAATGAGCAGAATATTAGAAAGGAGCATGGTTGAGCAAAGAGAACCGTGGGACCAAAACCAAATTAGGACCACATTTCTTCTGCCTTTGACTTTCCTTCGCATAATGGCCTTCTCCTCCGAGTCTTGCCTTTTTGTGATGGATCTTAAGTATGACAGCCTCAGTTTAGTCATTTTTCTTCCTGGGAAAGTTCTGGCTTGAAACCAGACATGGCATAAATAAACAGTTACATGGAAAGAAATACAATAAAAAGGATTAAAAGTCAGGCACACCTCTTTGTGGACCTGCACTGGTATTTTTGGTGGATCAGAATGCTCTGCATATGAATCAAGAACATTTCCCTGTCTTCACTGGAAATTAATTTCTTTTAGTAATTCGGCATAATGGATCTAGAATGTAAGTTGAACTGAGATGGGAGGAGGTGAGATTGGCGTTTGGTGTACAGTGATGGAGAAGAGCTGTAGCTCGGTGATGGGGACCCCCACTTTGATCTGATCCATCTCCAGGTGGAACCAGGGAAAATGGTGGCCAAAGCCCTGGAGAGCCATGTCCAGCCACCAACACTACTGGGCTTGAGGGTCTGCTGGAGGCAGCATGTTCAAAAGGAAGGGGAGAGCACATGTCTCGAGATGTGGGAGGTTCCCTCTTCCCCCTTTCTTCCTTTTCTTTCAGATCTCCATGCAGGAAGGACACAAGCAAGGGTCTGTGATGGAGGAGAACGACAGCAGCCTCGATTACCAGTCAGAACCCAGCATGGATATCCCCAGCTACCGGAAGAGTTCCCTTCACAAGACGTACCAGTCCTCTCCAGTACAAATGGACTCCTTGGCCATCAACTCGAGGTCTCTGAGCCTGAAGTCCGCCAGCAGGAGAGGAATAGACAAAATGCCCCTCCACCCCATGAAGTCCGAAGGGGCTGCCTCCACGCCGTACAAAAGCATCTTCTCGCCCAACTCTCTGTCAAACAGGAATGGGAGCTTGTCCTACGACAGCCTGCTCAACCCCATGTCCCCCTCGGGGAGGAGGTGCATAGCGCATGCCGCGGTGGGCTCCGTTGGGTACCACTCGCCCTATTTGTCCGCCAAAATGTGCCACCTGCGGGGCAGGGAGCTCCAGCGGGCCCCCCCCACAGAGCTTCAGCCCTGTGATGGGCAGCCCGGCCCCACATCCGCGCGACCCCTCACCGGTCCGCTATGACAACCTCTCGAAGACGATCATGGCGTCCATTCAGGAGAGGAAAGAGATGGAGGAGCGGGAGAAGCTCCTTCACTCTCACCCAGACTCGGTGTTCGCAGACTCGGGTGTCTATGATACGCCCAGTTCTTATAGCCTTCAGCAGGTCAGCATGCTGTCGGAAGACCCCCGGAGCCTGGCCATGAGATACGGCTCGAGGGACAACCTGATGAGCAGCGCTGGGTTCAGCGCGAGGAACCCGGTCCTCCAGGCCTCCGTTTCTTCACTCTCGAGTGGCATGACCAGAACGTCAAGGACTTCCACGCCTTCCCTCCAGGCCGACCTAGCCAATAACAATGTCCAGGCAATGCAGGGCAGGATGAGCAATGGCTCCTACAAATCTCCCAGCCACCAAGTCCCATCATCCCCAAGTGGGATGCCCAGGTCACCCTCGTATGGAGGTCCCAAAGCTGTTACGTTTGTTAACACCATGGAGATAACTGAGGCACAGCCTATGGGGACTCCAAGGTATGGATAAATTTATTCAGGGTTGTTTACAGAGAGAGAATCAGAAGACGTGTTCTTTATTGAATAGCCAAAGCTCTCTGGGTGGTTTACAGTAGTTCCAAACAGAATCACAGTACAATCAAGACAATTGTACTGTTTCCATAATGCAAGACGTAAAAACAGTATACATTTTTGATAATCAATTTAGTGGTAAAACGGTATTAATTACACCAGTGACCTGTTAAAAAACACCAGACGTGGGTATCCCATAAAGCCATTAAATATCTTTAAATGCCTCAGCACAGGCACCTGCCTTAACCTGGTGCCAAAAAGATCATAAAGTTGCTGCAGATAGGCAAAATTCCACAGCTGGCGGGCCAGCACTGAGAAAGCCCGCCCTGTTGTCGATGTTGAAAGGCAGAAAATAGATTTGACAGTCAAGAAGAAAAACAATAAAGTTTGTCTCTGGGTCTAAAGAACTCAGTGTTAAAATCAGAACTTTTGAACAGTTTGACTCCAATATTTAAAGACATTTTCAAGAGCCTAACGTCATGTTCTTGGGTTACTTTAACCTGGGCAGCAAGACTGTGCGCATCTCACAACTAAGGAGCAGGGTCTGCTTGGCAACCTGACCCCAACACGGGTGCAACCAGTGTTCTAGAGTTTGTCCAGCTTTGGAAGGCTACCATACACATTTTGATTTTGAGGGAAGCATCTGTCTTGCAGCAATTCTGGTTCAGAACCTCAGGGCATCAAAAGGCACATGAAAGCACCTTCAAATGATGTGTGTTAGGGGGAAGTATTTTAGGCCCTCAGGAGTTGTTTCTCTGAACCAATGGTACTCAGTGTAGGAAATAATCTATTTTTATATTTGAACGGTAGTTCCTAGGAGACGTAGCCATTTTGTTTGAAGGATACATGCTTTTCTGTGGCAAGTTAGGTAGCTTAGGGCTCCTAAGATGGTGGCGTGTCTTACTTCCATTCAAAAAACCGGAAATATCCTTCTGAACAGAGCCATGGACCATGCTTCTCCATCCTACTCTAATGGTGCCATTGAACAGACACCATCTTTAAAACTGGGTATTTTTAACCACTGTTTGCTATGGTTATTCTGAAGGAAAACAGCTTCTAGGCTTTCCTTCTCGGTTGGTGGGGCCATTCCCTGCCAAGGTGGGGAAATGTCCTTCTGGTCTTTCTGAAGCATATCTTTAAGCAGAGAAACGGTGTAGTGGACACCCACAAGGGTTCAAATCCCTGCTCAGTTGTGAAGCTTGCTGGCTTGGACTGGGCTAGCCACTGCCTCTCTGCTGACCTACTTCACAGGGTTGTTGTGAAGATGGGATAACCTCACGTATGCTGTTTGAGCCCTCCGATAGTCAGGCATGAGATGCCTATGCTAAATAAATTAGTCCCATACATGCAGGAAATTAAATTTAAGTTGCATATACATACATAGTCAAATCAGGTCTTTGTGTGTATGTGTGTGTTGTCCTTACCATCTGCCTTAACTTTACAATGTACTTGAGAGCCATACTCATCAGCAAATAAAATACAAGTTTAGTAGTTTGCCATGCCCCATGCATGCTTCAGGTCGGCCGTTTGCTTAAAAATATGTGTCTTCATTCCATTAAATGTAGGTCCCTTTCTCTCTGCCTCTCTTTGGAAGAAGAACAGCAACAAAGCCCATTTTTAAATTGCTGGATAGCTGCTCCGAGTGTGAGGGTTAGTCATGTCACTGATTTGCCAATCAGTGCTGTGCAGAGCTGGCTTCTCTTTGCATTGTTTCCTATTTATTGATTTATTTATTCACATGTTGATAGGTTGCCATAACTGCCAAAAGATCTTCCTCGGCAGCTCCTTCTAGACTCCTTCAATAGTAAGGCCATGTAGGTGCCCTTCCACAATGCCTTGCTCTTAACACTGTGTGCACCTCTCCGATGGGGCTGCTGGAAATGCTTTCTAAGAGTCGAAAGACACCCACTTGTGTTTGGTTAACTACAAGGTAAAAAGAAAACCAATCCAGACTGAAATTGCCATGCCTGGAAAAGGGAGATTAAAACGTTAAGAATTAAACTGTTTCCTTTTTGGAATGGGTGCCAATGGAGGCTTGTGTGTGTGAGGTTTTTTAATCCAGGCATAAAATGTTGAGTTTTAGGAAAGAAGTGACTGAGTGGGAAAGGTTTACGCTCCCCTCCTGCTCATGGTGGTCTTGATTCGCATGAGAACTTTATTAAAGGATAGTAAAGTTGGCACCAGGCAAGCATCAATGGAGAGGTCGTGCCATAACTTGGGGGCTACCACAGAGAAGACCTTGCCACCAGCTGAGCCTTTCCTAGAGGTAGAAGTCAGAGGAAGGCCCCAGAAAACGTGCATCACATCTGGGTAGATTGCAGTGGGGAAAGACTTTCTGTCGAGCTTTGGTGAGTTCCGTTGTTTCATTCCCGATCCTGTTGTCTTTCTTCCGCTGCAGGGAGGAAATCCAGCTGAAGACACCTCACAGCAAGGTTAATGGACAGCCCAAAGGGATTTCTCGCGTGGAGTGTCGGCTAGGGCCCACCTCTAGCTCCCAAGGTCCCCCAGTCAGTCCCGCTAGACACTCAAACGTTAAGAAGGTATCTGGCGTGGGTGGAACAACCTATGAAATTTCAGTATAAAACAGAAATTCATGAAATAAAGAGCCATCCTCAAACCCAGCCGTGAAGCTAGGTGCACTGTGAAGTCTCAAACAATATTGCCAACACGAAGGGAATTAGGAGGAGCAGCTGAAGGGGGCCTTCCTGTTTTATTTTGTGGCATTTTTGCTTTTTTTTTTTTTACAGACTCAGAACCCGTTTCCTTCTCGTTCTCTGGCCAAAACCAGCTGCAGCCTTATTCTTGGAGAAATTAAATTTGTACTGCTCATTGGACGCTCTCTCAAACAGAGAGCAGGGGACTGACTTGACCTGCGGCACCACAATTTAGAGATTACATTTGCTTTTGCGGAAGAGAACACAAAAGCCATTGTGCATTTGTCTCTGTCCTCCAAATCGTGTCTTTCAGATGTTGTTGTGCTGTGCTGTACAAGCAGCTCGCTCGGGCTTTGTGTTTTCCCTTAAACCTTCCAGGTTCAATGGCAAATCAGATGAAGGAGCACCTGGGCCTAGCAGGGTCTTTTTTTATAGTTTATCAATGATAAATGCTAAATTACTCGGGGGAGTTGGGTGTGTATTGCTCCCAACCGGCGGGGCGGGGGAGGGGGATGTGTGCACTTGTTTCCTTGTCCTCAATGGCTTTTTATTCATTTCAAGAGAGGAAGCAGATGTGTGCCTACATCCTTTTGCAATGACAGATCTGTTTCTTTCATGGGAATGAATGGGCAATGGAATCGGGGTGCATGCACAGAATCCTCTTTGGAACTCTGCATTGGTATGGATACACGTGCAAGAAAAAATTCCAAGACGCATCAGTCCTCTTCAGTAGGCCTTTGATGAGCGTCCAGCCTTGTAGAGACTGTTCTGGGCAAAGGAAGGGAAGGGCTGGTTGTATCCACTGTCATTTGCCACCAAGTATGAAATTATGCGCACACCGTGAGTTTGTCTCTCATGTCATCGAACTGTCTTGCAAGCAAGGAACGCCCATTTCTCCTTGGACTATTATCGGTGGGGTTTGCTTTTAAAAAAAAGAAAAGCGAAGGCCTGCCGTGTTCAAAAAAAGAAAGCAAATTGAATATTTCGAGGATTATAAAATGCCCTCCTTCTTCCTCTTCGTTTGTGCTACTGGAGATGGGCGGTAATACGGTGTATTGTCTTGCACTGGTGCAGTGTGTATAATCTCAACACAAAGTATTCTGGTCTGTGGAAATTTGCAGTGTGTGTGTATATGTGTGTGTCCGTGAGCGAGTGAGTGGTTGTGTGATTGTCAGCCAACTAAATGCCTGTAGGAGATACGTTTTGCTGACTGCCTGATGACTATTGAGTTTTCCATATTTCAATGCTGGTGACCACTCTTTCTAGAATTCGGAGGGAAAAATCCTCAAGTGAGTTGTTTACAAAAATTTGAAATGTTTCTTCTCTAAATTAGGAGTGGGTTTCCTCCCCCTCTCAGTCTACTTTTCATGGACACTATTTGATTTGGGGATTTTAGAGAAAAAGCACGGTGCAAAAGTATTGCGTTTAGCAACTTAATGTTTAACATGATTGCCTTAAAATTTCACTTTAGGATTTCACTGTTTTTGGTTTAATGACTCCAAGAGAAGTTTGAAAGCGACGTAAGGATCGGAATTATAAAAGTCTGATCTATAGTGACACTTTGTTTTAGCCCTAACCCAGGGCTGAATGAAACATGATGCGGGAGATACTGATTAAAGAATCACGAGGCATCTGCCGCAGGAGATGGGGGCAGAATCAGATCAGGAGGTGCAGCACTGGAGAGGGGAGTGGCACCCACATGTTTTTCCAATGAAATCCCACCCACCTTAGAATTGCTCTTTTCTGGGGCACCTACAATTTCCCTTCATGAAGTCGTGATTAGCTGGGGGGGGGGGACAGATTAGTGAGAGGAAGTTTAACCGCCCATTTCCCCAGCAGAACCTCAGGAGCTTCCTTTGACTGCATCTGTTAAGAGCTCCTTCTAGAATTCTGTCTTCACAAGTACGGATTCTCCAGGGAGTCTCCCGTATCGCCTGCACGCAGGGGTGCAGAACCTCTCTCCCCGAGGGCCAAATTAGCTCAGAGGAGCTCTCGGGGGACTGCATTCCCCTGGTGGACAGGACTGAAAGCAAAAGCCGAGGGGCAAGAAGGCCGCTCAGAGATGCCACAAGCGTGAACTTGGGACGTGCTGCTTGAGACTGCGTTGCACTACCGCTGAACCATGGCCCTGTTGCAGGACCACAAGCCTGATCTCATTCGAGACCGCCTTGCTTCATGGCTCCTACTCTCAAAGACAGAACAGGGCACGGGGATCGCTTCTTGTCATGTTGTGCCTGCAGGGCTGGGCCGGCCGTTGCACAGAGTGAAGCAGAAGCCTGAGGCAGCGGATGCTGTGAAGGTGCTGAGGAAGGGACTGTCCCATCACCCACGCCCAACACAGGTGCACCTGCCGGTTCAGTTGGCATGCTTGGATGGCATTGGAGAAGCGCCACTGTGCTCTTTGCCGGGAAGCAAGATTCTCCAGCCGCCCCTGCACGTCTCGTCGGGTGCCCAGGCAGCCCCAGTCCAGCAAGTTCCCACCACCTGCATCCATCCAGCTGCGAGGAACGTTTTGGCACACGCCGGCACCTCGGCCATCCAGGCGGCTTGCAGGGGAGTTCCCAGAGCACCCACCCAAACACTGCAGAGCTATCTCAGTAGGAGAGAATTTGGTGCTCCCCCCACCCCAAATGCTTCCTGATCATCTGATTGACCACTACCACACCCAGGAAAATATTAGGGTCAATGGGGGATTTTCCCCCAGTTGCAAATACCACTTTCTGAGGAAAGCTTTTTCTTCAGGACTCTAACGGGAGAGGATTAGACTCTTCCTGCACGTCCGATGTTCTGTTCCATAACTTTTCAGACCCCCTCCCAGCTGATATATTTTGCTTCAAAACAGCAAACACACACACCAACACTCCGCACACGGTAAATGCAAAGAATCATTTCCATCACTAGCCAATGGGACTTTAACTTTTCTTTCCTTCTCAACCGCATTGTTCTTTGTATTTGGTTTCCAGTTAATTTTCAAGAATGGAGACTGTTGATGGAAGAAAATAGAAATGGGTATAAGGGTTCAAAGACACACAGCAGGCGACCCCTTACACCATCTCGGGGAACAGTGGAAGGCAAATATTTCAGGCCACCTGTGGGTGGTCTTTTCCCCTTATTTTGTCAATCATCTTTGCATTCCAGAATAGACTCTTCCTATTGTCGTTGCTGTCCTTTTCCTGGTATTCTGTTGAAGATTGTAACTATGCTGGGGAGGGGGGCATTTCTCATATTATAAATTTCCAGAACCAGAAGCATTCTTGTGCATCATTCATGTGGTCATATATAGGTGGAAAGTGTGTTTGTCTGAATTACAGATGTTCAGGGGTGGAAATTTCAGGGGAATGTGTGATTCATTTTCATCATCTGCTGTTCAAATTACTGTGTGTGCAACAAGACACACACCCTTATCTCAGTGAGGTGTGTGTGCAGCTTTCCTTATATTGTGCAACATTCAGTTCTCCCAGTTCTGGTCATCTGAAAAAGAAACTAGGAAAGAAGGAAGGATGGTAGAAATCTGTGACCGTACAGAGGGAGAGAGACACACATACTGCTGACTGACAGACTGCATCTTATGCCAGGAATAAGAGCAGAACCTTATGCTCAAGGGCCAAATTCTGTCCTCTTGGGGTTTTCCAAATGGCCCCACTCCCTGCGGCCACTGGCCATTTGGTCGTTTCCTGCTTTTGTGTACTTCTTCCCTGTTCTAAAAGTTTGACATACCTCTCTTAAATGTTATGTACTGGCAGAAAGAGCTCGAAGCAAAGGTCGTCTGGTATTTTGGTTAATGTTGACCCCACCCTGGCTGTCTTCAGCCTTGCATAGCACCAGGATGAGGCCTCCGAGCGTTTGACCCTTGGGCTGAAAGAGGTCCTGCACCCCTGACATGTGTGATGTGGGCGGATGCAAGCAAAGATCTGGAAACCGTCGACCCTTTAATGGTCAGCTGCTTTAATGGTGTAACTGTGCCAGAGATCACAATCTGGGAGAGGGATATCATGCTGAATTCAGCCCCACGTGGGACTTACTTCCAAGCGTGTGCGATTCCGATCAGGGCATTAGCTTTGCTGGTCTTAGTCCAGATGGTTGCCTTAACTAGGCTGTGGATCAGGAGGATGGGTGCGAAAGCAGCGCCTGGGAGACCAGTCCAGGTTTTGCATTATGTGGAGTGTCTAAATGGGTAGGACGGTTCCCAGTTTGAAATGGGGCAGAGCAAAGCAGCCGTGCTGTGCAGAGGGAGATCCGGATGTGCAGCCACAGTGCTGATCGTGGCTGGCACAGGCCTGCCAGGCTGGGGCCCCCATGGAGCCTTGTCTTCTGCCCAGAGCCCCACCTGTCTGTTGGTGCCAAAGAAAGATTTTTTTTTTCACTTGGTTGCCATGTAGGGTGTGATTTTCAAGGCAGTGTCATGTGCTAGAGTTCCTCCCTTCACATATTCAAAGCCACAGATTTTCTTTGCAAAATTTCTGTATTCACCAAAGTGTTTGCCAGAAGCACCTAGAATGAGTCTCTGAGCATGTACAGAGTGGTTTGTTGAACCCAATCTACTTCTAGGAACTCTCCTTCCGAGTATGTTGGGTCCCATTCTTTTGGGAGGGGCTTTTTGGAAATGGGCATATCGCCTCTCTGCATGCTGACCCTCTCCTTGTGTCCCGCCTCTCCTGAGGCCGTATCACGAGGTCAAGAGCTGAACCTGCTTTGTCTGTCTCAGAGAAACTCTCCGGCTCCAAGCATCTTGGCTCTTCTCAGAGGCTACCTGAGCACCTGGGGAGCCTGGCCTTGAAACAGGCACCTCTGCTTCCCTCATCCCCACATCTGGAATTGGCCTAGGTCTCAAGCGCCATCCCGCTTCTCCTCCAAGTCCAGATGAGCATGCTCCAGGAATGCACTATGAGCAACTGCCGCTCTCAGTCCTCACGGAGGGGGCAGGGCTGTGGGGGGAAGCCTTAACTCTCCCCTGCATACACGCTGC